TTTTTCTTCCCCTCTTTCCGCCGCATAATATAGGTAGCAAAAAGGGCACGCCTACCTCCTCTTTATTTTCCGCAGCTAGCCGGAACGCCATGTCCACGAGTATTTTACGGCGATTTTGAAGTAAAAGCGCTAGCTCATCTCTTGCTCTTTTGCTTCTTCCAGGGAGCCATTCCTTAAGAAGTTTATGAGCAACTGATACAGAATAAGACAATAATTTTCTCCCAATTTTCTGAATGTAGCATGAATGTGAACAAAGAACACAAATAACCTAGATTAGATTATCCATATGTCTAATGACGAAATTTCCTGCGACCACCTATAGAATGGTGAATAGCATGCGAAAAAAAAAACTTTATCTTAAGAGGTCTAAAGATATTATGCAGAGCTCACCTGGCTAGCGAACAGATTATTCATTCCTGTGAGATTGCTCCTTAGGCTGTTTGACACCACCACAATACTCCACTTATCCAATTGATTTTGACGGACCTGACAATTTCATGTTAGAGATAAATCAACAATGGAATTCAGAAAACCATGCCAAAATAAAACTACTATTTATGAAGGATTTCCCTACCTCAGTGGGGATTGTGCGCACTCGACAGCGGAACAGTGCTCGACCAATCGCTTTCCTTATTCGAATATCCGAAACACAATAAATCGGCAGTCGCATCAAACAACCAAACACTGTCAGCTAGACATATACATTTAAACGTTATCCTATTTGCTTTTCTTTCTGTACTTTTACTTCAGTTAATAAAAATGTTTGACGGGCAGCTCGAATAAAACAATTTGTGGAGAAAACAAATAGCTTACCAATGACGCTACATCCGACACAATGAGATATTCATAATAGTAGTTCTTGATTTCGCTTGGAGCCAGATATTCCCAGAAGCCAAGAAGTATCGAAACGTGATTGGACAGAAGGTAACATCCAACCACAAGTACCAAGGTCTTTGTTGCTGTACGTACACCTCGTTTCTCGCGATAATAATGTCGTATGGACCTAAAATACCAGGTACTCTTGGTACAAGATCCAATGTATACGGAGTTGAAGGAACTCCTTAAATGCTACATTTTGGCACATTTTTATAGGTCGCTTTAGTTAATGCAATGTCCTACGTTTGGAACACAGTCCTTTTTGTGAATTTTCAACAAATTGTGAAATTAGGCAAAACTTCGAAGGAAAAATATGGTCAAAATAACATACGATTTTGTCAAACTTCCTCTCATGGAACGTTTTTTGATCGAAAGTTGTTGGTTTTCCTTTTGTTTCAGCCGCAATTGTAGCACTATCCGATAATTGCAGTAGATGAGAATGAAGAATGGCACAATTACGGTAGAAATCTTTCTGCCCCAGTATAGGACTGCAACAAATGTTCCGGGATTGCTGGCTAGCACGGGGACGTATCTGAAGAATAGAAATGTTACCCAAGTT